TATGATTTAAGTTTTTTTTAGTTAAACTCGGTTTAATACGGTTTATCGATTTATCTAATTTCCGGTTTTTGACGGTTCAATCCGGTTTTCAACTCAACCCGGCTATACTTCCGGTTCGTGGTCCAACCTGGTCTGACCGCCGGTCCGGTCCGGGTTTAAAAACACTGAAGTAATACGTTATGTTGGTGCTCTTTTGATCATGGATATTCATCTCCGGCTTTCCTGTTCTAGAAGATCTTACAGTGATTGGGCCTAAAGAATATTCCACAGGCGGTCTGCAGCTTCTGCGTGTGAGGTCTCAGTCTCTGAAAAGCTTTTGTCTCGTGTTTGACTACTTTGGTCGAAATGGACAAGTGGGCAATGTTTTCGGCTGAGATTGATGCTCCAAGACTGGGGTATATGAGTTTCAGAGATGACCAATCTGATATGATTGTGGTAAAGAACCTGGCTTCTTTGTTCATGATCGACATTGATACTAAATTTAATGTTACGTTTGGCGGAGGATTTAAGCAAGATAGATGCTATCCATGATTTTCTCATCAGGATATCTAGTGTAAGACATATGATCATCTCTCACGGCAATCTAGACGTAAGTTAAAATATATACTTTGTGATGCATCTACTGTATAACAACCAAATGTTTTTTAGTTATCTAAGATGTAATCTTTTCTTTCCTCTTGCAGGTCCTCAATCTATATTTCTATTTGAGGCCCATTCCCAATTTCCATAACTTGTATCGTTTGGAAGCTGCGTTCCCTAAATCTATGGAACAATTTATGCCAGTCTTTCTTGAGAGCTGCCCAAATCTGAGAAACCTCATCTTGGTAAGAATCTGTTTTGAGCCTATGATTTGGTTTACAACATTTTTGAAGTATATTGTAAACTCTAGTTGTTTGTTTTCAGGAGGAAGGTCAAACTGAACACACCTATGTGCCTCAGTGTTTGGTATCAACTCTGGAATGTGTTGAGATAAAAAAAAAAAAAAACTGGATATGGAGGAAGAAAGTTGGAAGAAAATAGTTAGGTACTTTCTTGAGAATTCAGTTGTTCTCAAGAAACTCCTCCTGCGTTTCAGAGATTCTTCTACATCCAACCGAGATTCAGTCTTTAAAAAGCTTCTTACATTTTACAAAGCGGTCTTGCAGTTGTGAGATTATCATCCATTGACAATGTCATTGAAGATCAGCCTAGGAATCTTTTGGATGTATGGCATTCTTCGTCGGGTATCGACTGAAACCATTGTTTACAGTTACAGTCTCAGAGATCTACCTTCTCTGCTTCATTCTCTTCTAGTTTCTCTTGGTACCGTGCTGAACAGTCAACCAGTTGTAACCTTTTTTTACGAGTGAGATTCAAAATTTTATCCATGTTTTCTCGAAAATCACTTGCGAGGAAGTTAGAAACTGTACTTCTACAAAAGCAACCAAAATCACTGAAAAGTGAAAGCTAATAGGTGAAAAAAAAAATGAATCTACCTTATAACAAACCTCTTAATCATGTTCTGAATATCATCTCTCGCTTTGAATACTTCCTAATAACCTCGAGCTCCCTTTGCTTCCTGAGATCTTCCCAATAACTCCGTGGCTGCGATATAGCACTAATTCAATCATAATACTCACTCTCTCCACTATAATCTTCATCATCTTGATCTTCCATTTCAATTTCATCCCAACCATTTAGAAATATTGATGATTCAAGGATCAAACAAAATGCTTCTGATTCTTCTTGCTTCTCGGCTTTCAATGATTCTTCATCATCTTGTGAAGACTTTTCCTCTTCACCACTTTGTCTAGATACGTGACTCTCAAATTCTTCTTCCTTTCTTTTATTCAACCTAATTGCTGATGTAATTTCTTGAGGATTAACTCTATATTCCTCAATCTCCATGGATTTGCCTTCTTCAAGACTACTAACTTATACTTTCTTTGCTTTTTCTTTGTTTCTCTCTTCATCCTCCACATCAATGACTCTTCTTGAAAATTTGTCTTTTTTTTGTGTCCTCTATATTTTTCCTCCTAATAGTTCTCTCCCTGGAATCCCAAAGATTCGCCTTCTCTCTGATACTCAATCAACGGAGGAAAACATCTTGCTTCTCTCTCTTTCTGACAAGGATCTGAAACATAACTTCTGTCTGATTGTGAACACAAATCTATTTCTTCACGGAGAGATTCAAAAAAGGGAACTCGAATTGGAATTTCTCGAAGAGGCTAAATCCAGAACTCTGTCCTGCTATCGCTAAGGGATTGATTTTGACTCGAGCTTGAGCTTACCATATCTGAACCAGAGAAGAAGCTCCCGTGCTGATCCCATTTCTTGACAGGTTTTTCTGGTTTATCCTGACTATTAAACAGATTGGAATTGGTCTGTTGCAGAGTAGAGTTCGAAGAAAGAGTCTGTAGAGATTCCTCTGTTTCAGAAACAGAGGATCTTGAAAAAAGTTCAAGAACCACTTTACTCTTCCTCTCTTCTTCTCTACTTCGATTTGGTTTACTCTCTTCATTACATTTTATCAATTTTTGTATATGTAATTTATATTTTATTTCATAAGGTATATGTAAGTTTATGTTGCTTCAAATCTATGGATGGAAGTCAATTTACAGTGAGTAAATTAAGGGTTTAAAAAGACAATGAAAAATTTGAGTAGATTAATGGGTTCTGATTAATGGCGAACTAGAAATATTTTTTATCGGGGTCAATATTAATAAATTATATATAAAATTTAAATAAATTAAAATATTACTTTTGAAACTGAATGTTTAAAATAATTTATTTATTAGTTTTGGATTATAAAACAGAACTAAAATAATGTATTATTGTTATAAATTTTATAAATTGTAAGTTTGTTAAATAAAAATACATATATGTAGTGATAGAAATATTTAACAGAGCCGAAGAGAAGCATTCCTCACAACTACTCAAACCTCAATTATCCATCTCTTATCTTCACTTTTGCAGTCTATTTTTGGTTGTCAAAATGCGATGGCTCAGAGTACGGTGCTAAAACAATCGGTGGCGAAGAAGATTGTGGAGGCTCCGATCAAGCGGCTAAAAATCACGGTGCCTAAGTTTGACAACAGGAGCATCATCAAAGGGTATTCACGCACTCTCATTGGCAGATGCATGAACCCTCAGATGCAGGATATGAAAGCTCTCTTGTATATGCCTCTGAGAATCTGGAAACTGGAAGATCGAGTTGCTGGAGCGGACCTTGGCATGGGTAAATTCCAGTTTGATTTCGAAAAGGAGGAAGACATCAAGGAGGTGATGAAGATGGAGCCTTTTCATTTCGATTACTGGATGGTGTCTCTGGTTCGGTGGAGCCCGGTGGTCGATCCTCAATATCCGTCGGCGATCAAGTTTTGGGTTAAAGTGATGGAAGTTCCACTTTATTACTAGGCGGATGTAACATTCGAGAGTATTGGAAAGGCTCTCGGAAAAGTGGAAGCCGTCAATTTGGATGAGGGGAAGATACAGGTTACAATCGACGGCTTCAAACCACTGGTTCTCGAAACGACGTTTGAATTTGATGGCGGTGAGGAGACAACGGTTTATTTACGATACGAACGTCTGTTTGGTTTCTGTAAGATCTGTCAGAGCCTATGTCATGACTCTCAACGTTGCCCAACTCGGATCGGAATGGAGGACCGCTGGAGTCGAGAGGAATATTCTGATGAACCGGCGAATTGTCAGGGACCAATGTCTTACAAGGCAGCTGCAAAATACGGAGGAAATGAAGGAAAAGAGGTGCTGAAAAACAATGGAGGAGGTACTGATAGCAAACAGTACAAAGGGAGATCAGAGAGGAAATATGGTGAAGGCTCTTCGCAAACCAACAGACCATCGAACCATTTTCCTCCGAAGGAACACCACAAGAGGCGGATGACGTAGGAGGAGAAAGACGACATTCCGGTGGACACAGAAAACTTGATTCAGCAGAAAACATCATTTTTAGTCACGGAGAATGAGGATTCTGAACCAGTTCAGGCATCTCAGGTGATCAAAGGGAGCGATGGAAAGCATTTGAAGCCAGGTTTGGAGGTTGGTTTGGATATACATGGCACGAAGGAAAAAACAGTGAGGAAAAGCTTGTCATTTGTGGATGATGACTTGCTAAGCCTCGGGTCTCAAGATAAAGGTGATACTGACATGGAGGTTATGCGAGTTCTAGGCGGGCAAGGAGAGAGTTTGGTATCAAATATGGAGGTCATAGCACAAGGAGATACTCGAGAAACTGGCGATGCAATAGTCGAATTTTGGCAACAGGTGAATGCAGGGATTGAACCGGGTGAGCTACAGCTCTGTATTGAGAATAATCTAGGTGAATTGGGACAAGAAGATGGCGAATTTTTTCAGGACCAAGACATGGAGACACAGACGATGGAGAAGCAAGGAAACCCACCGGCGAACACTGAGGCAGTGGAGCAGAATAAGATCGGTTCTCAGATGGCGATACTAGAGGAAATTGCTAGGGATTTAGCTGACCCAGCTAAATCGGAACCCAAGAAAAGACAGAACAAAACCAATCTCCCTTACCTGGGTGGTGGTTCTAAAAAGAGAATGGTTCAAGCACTGGTCTCTCCGCGGAAGAAACAGGTTACTAAATCGACAAACCGCAATGGAGAAGGAGCACGTACGGCAGCTCCAAGAGGCCCTTCGTTTATGAAGAAGGAGTAAAAATTTTAAATTTTACATGAGGATTTTAAGTTGGAATTTTCAGGGTCTAGAGAGGTTTGGAAGAAACATAGACCAGAGTTTTTGTTTCTTTCAGAAACTAAGAATGAATTTTCTTTTTTACAAAAATTTCAATTTCATTTTGGTTACAATAAGTTGTATACGGTTGAACCGTCTGGTGCAAGTTGGGGACTTACTTTATTTTATAATGATGACTTTGATGTTTCTATACTGTTTTCTCGAATTATTGATATTGAGGCTACTATTCTTGGGAAAAAAGTTTTCCTTTCATTCATTTATGGAGACCCGGTAGCAAAAATGCGAGATCAAGTTTGGGAAAGACTAACTCGTATAAGTCTCATAGAGACAGACCCTTGGTTTATCATTGGTGACATGAATGAAATTACGGGTAAAAATGAAAAACATGGAGGCAATCTAAGACATGCATCCACTTTTGTATCCTTTAATCTCATGATTTGGGACTGTGGTTTTCTCGAATTTCCCTGTCTAGGGAATACAATGTCTTGTAGAGGGAAAAGAAACTCAACAATTGTTTGCTGCAGACTTGATCGAGCCCTAGCGAATGAAGACTGGCATGAATTATTCTCACATTCCTTTGTTGAGTACTTGGCAATGATTGGGTCAGATCATAGGCCAATGGTTGCAACCATTGAAGACAAAATTCCAAGGAAAACATCACAATTTCGCTTTGATAAATGATGGTTGGGACAAAATGGTTTAATGGAATCTATTTCCAAAGACTGGAACCTAGATCCCGGTGGTGAGGAAATAAGGCTTACGGAGAAAATTCGGAATTGTCGACGAGAGGTATCCAAGTGGAGGAAAACCCTGAAACCATATGGAAAGGCTAAAATTGAGGAACTGAAACGGGCATTAGAGGAAATACAAAACGATGACACACGGTCGGAAGAAGACTTGAAGGCAACAGCAAAACAAATTCAGGAGGCTTATCGAGATGAGGAATTATACTGGCAACAGAAGAGTAGGACTCAATGGGCGCATGCAGGAGACAAAAATACTAAATTTTACCATGCCCTAGTTAAACAAAGACGGGCAAGAAATCGGATAATTGGGTTGCATAACGAGGCAGGTACGTGGGTTACATCGGAAAACGAGATTGAACAAGTGGCAGTTAATTATTTTGAGAAGCTATTCTCCACCACATCCACAATGGAGTTTGAAGAAGCTCTGGGACAAATCAGACCACAAATCTTGGAAACAGATAATGTTAGGCTCACGGCAACAGCCACAGAGGAGGAAATAAGGAAAGCACTATTTATGATGCACCCCGAAAAAGCTCCGGGACCCGATGGGATGACAGCACTCTTTTACCAGAGAGCGTGGCAGATTATTAAGAATGACCTCGTTAGGTTAATTAATAGCTTTCTGGATACCGGTGTTTTTGAAGACGGTCTAAATCTAACGAACATATGTTTAATTCCTAAAACGGAACGACCTACGCGTATGACTGAACTGCGACCAATTAGCCTCTGCAATGTCGCTTATAAAATTATATCTAAAATGCTATGTCAACGGTTGAAAAGACTGCAGCCGGGCCTAATATCGGAAACACAATCAGCCTTTGTGCCATGGCGGTTGATTTCGGACAATATTCTCATCGCACAAGAGATGTTTCATGGTCTTAGAACCAAAAAATCGTGCAAATGTAAGTATATGGTAATCAAGACGGATATGAGTAAAGCCTATGATCGAGTCGAATGGACGTTTATAGAGGAACTTCTGCGGCGATTAGGCTTTGCAGAAAAATGGATTGGATGGATAATGAGGTGCATTACATCAGTCAAGTATAGAGTCTTACTAAATGGTCAACCAAAGGGTCAAATCATTCCAAAACGAGGTTTACGCCAAGGGGACCTCTTATCCCCATACTTATTTATTTAATGCACGGAAATACTAATAGCAAATATTAAGAAGGCTGAACAGAAAAAGCTATTAACTGGTCTTCAGGTGGCGAGGGCAACGTCTCACATTTACTCTTTGCAGATGACAGTATATTCTTTTGCAAAGCAAATAAAGAGGAATGCCAAAAATTGTTGGCCATACTGAAACAGTATGAGAGTGTGTCGGGACAACAAATTAACTTTGATAAATCTTCAATTCAATTCGGTCATAAGGTCACAGACCAAATCAAGGATGAAATGCGGCAGATTATAGGAATCACTAGAGATGGCGGATCGGGATCGTATCTCGGCATCCCTGAAAGTTTAGATGGCGCTAAGACAAGTGTTTCACTTTGTAGCAGAGCGACAATATGATCGGGTTAATAGTTGGACATCTTGGTTGCTGTCAAAAAGGGGTAAAGAAGTTCTAATCAAATCGGTAGCATCTGCGATGCCAACTTTTGTCATGTCTTGTTTCCGGTTGCCAAAAGCAACAACACGGAAATTAACTAGTACGGCAGCAAGGTACTGGTGGAGTTCGAACGGACAAAATCGCGGTATGCACTGGATGGCATGGAAAAAATTGTGTAAGGCCAAAACTGAAGGTGGACTCGGTTTTCAGGACGTGGAGGACTTCAATACAGCTTTATTGGCAAAACAATTATGGAGGCTTATTGATAGGCCAACCTCACTGTTTGCTCGAGTCTTCAAAGGACGATATTTTCGGAATGCGAGTCCCTTGGACCCTGTGAAATCCTACTCACTGTCTTATGGATAGCGAAGTATTATCTCGGCTTGATCTCTGGTTAGTAAAGGACTGATTAAAAGAGTTGGTTCTGGAAATTCCATTTCTGTCTGGAATGACCCCTGGATATCTTCTTCTCGTTCGAGACCAGCCACTTGTAAGGGTATTAATTACTACCTAAACCTCATGGTTAATCACTTGATTGACCCAGTGACAAATTCATGGAATCTGGGATTGCTGTCGGCAATCATTGAGCCAAAGGATGTAGAAATTATTTGGGGAATGCCCATTAGTAGAGTATATAGGCCAGACCATTTAGGCTGGCACTTTACACAATCTGGTCAATATACGGTTAAATCTGGGTATAGAGTTGAGTGGGATTATCTTGAAGGAGATGTGGCAGTATATCATGGTCCAGAAATAAAGGCATTACAAACACATACTTGGAAACTGAAATGTGCACCAAAATTAAGGCATTTTATTTGGCAAGTCCTCACTGGGTGCCTTTCGGTTTCCGCCAGATTACGTTCACGGGGAATACAGTGTGACAAACAATGTGCACGATGTGGAGCGGAGGAAGAAACTATTAATCATGTCCTTTTTGAATGTCCTCCGGCTTTACAAACATGGGCTCTATCCCAGGTTCCATCACCCTCTGGGACATTTCCAGAGTCATCGGTTTATTCGAATTTTGATCACCTTTTCTGAAGAATTCCACAGGAGGCCAGAAATACACATTTCCCTTGGATCGTATGGTACATATGAAAGGCAAGGAATGAAAAAATATTTTCGAATAAAGACATCGACCCACAGGTCACTTTAAAAATAGCGGAAACAAAGGCCACTCTTTGGGAGGAAGCCCAAAGGGAGGGTCCAGATTCACCCATATCGGATACTTACAATGCGCAATATAAGGCACCCAACACACCATATGAGGGTTGGTGGTGTTATCTGGATGGTTCATGGAAAGAGACGGACTCTTCCGTGGGACTAGGCTGGTATTTTTTTAAGGAAGGAATACCGGATAAAATAATGGGAGCACAGAAGGTACGGCGGAGTCTCATGCCTCTATATGCAGAAGCTGAAGCCCTTATTTGGGCAATGCATTGTATGCTGCTGAACCAGAAGACGGAAGTCGCGTTCGCAACAGACTGTTCGGAGCTAGTGAAGATGGTGTCTGCACCCGACGAATGGCAAGCTTTCGTCCTACATCTGGAGGAGATCCAGAAAATGAAAGACAACTTTCGTATCTTTATTCTAACTCACATTCCGTGCACAAAGAACTCGAAGGCGGACAAGCTGGCAAGGAGCGCTCGAGTCCATCCTCAAGAAATCATGTATGTTAATTCAGTCCTACCAGTTTGGTTGACTGAACCTTTGTAAGTAGTTTAAGCTGTTGACAAAAAAAAATATATTTAATTTTATGTAAACAATACTAATAATCCTATATTTTTATTTTTATTTTTTCTGAAATACTGATTAGAGAAAATGGTATGATAGAAGAATTTTTTTTAGAATATTTACTTATCTCAAATACATTATCTACACTAATTAAAGGGGTTTAACCAGTAAAATTGCAGAAGCTATTCTAATACACGAAAGATTTAATGTAAATGGGAGAGAAATGAATAAGGAAGTTTCGTTTAAAAATATCCAAACCATGTCAAACCAAATAAAACAACAAATGATTAATGAAAAAAAGTAAAAGGTGCAACCACCAAGGATTGAACCTGAGCTAGGGGGTCAGTGTTATGTGCATCTAACCAAATGATCTACAGACAACTAATTATATGCAGCTACAAACAAAATTTTATCAAATTCACAGGGGTCAGTTGACCCCCCTCATCCTTCACTAGCTCCGCCACTAGCTCTGATGATCATTCTGGTAAATTGGAACAGATAATTGGTTATATATATATAAATACGAATTAAAAATAAGGCATAAAGCCAACGATTCCCTTAGCATGGTTAAATCTATATATATATATATATATATATATTTCTGTAGTGATTTGCTTACGTGTTGCGCTTATAGCAAGTTTCACAACCTCTCGTTTACGTGTCAACTCTAGAATTAGTTTCGGCTGCAAAAAGACAAATTACCCTATTTACCGATTATGTGTTATTTTTTTTTGGTTATTATCTGTTGATATGTTAAAAATAACTTATAACAAACCGATATAAATTATTATGGTTTAATGCTTAATTTCACTGTAAAATTAAACCGTTTTTGAAATGATATATAACCAAAATTTATAAAGTAATTAACAAAAAACGTTATTATTATTAAAAAAGAATTCGTAAAATATTTTGTTTTAAATGTTTACCATTTTTTA